CTTTAAAGAAAACATAGCAATCTAAGATTATTTAACACAGTTTCCCCTCTTCAGATTACGATATATATATATATATATATATATATATATATATATATATATATATATATATATATATAATTATTTATTTAAAAATATGATTCCAAAACGCGACATAAGAAGTATCATGTTTCAAAACAAGAGCCGAAAACTTCAATATAATTATTTAAATTAAATTGAGTTAAAATAAGCTCTGTTCCATCTTCAAGCGAAATTTTTTGGATTCCCAAAAAGTTTTTTTTTGGATTCAAAAAATTTCGCGTTTTGGAATCATATTTTTAAATAAATAATTATATTTATTTCTACTTTTTTGTATCGAGCACTATTTTTAAAATGATAACTAAATACTAAGGAACTTTGGATTATTTACCTAACCAGTTCCTTCCTATTTTCTATATATTTTCACACACACACACACACACACACACACACACACACACACACACACACACACATATATATATATATATATATATATATATATATATATAGGGACGTAGAAAGATAAGAGAAACGTTAAGCGATTAATATTGTAAGGTAAATGTCAATTGTTAGAAATAAATAGATAGAAACAGACTGAGATAGATAGATAGATTCTTTCGAAAGAAAGAAAGAAAGAAAGAAATACATCATTTGATCGCAATAAAATCAGGATTCCGTTTTCCTACTGACCATCATCATCGGTTTAATATAATCACAGTTATCTTTGTGATTAGCTTCAATGGGAACAAACTCCATCAAAATCTTGATTGAAGCTACGATCATTATTAGCATCCTTCCTGCCGGCGGATTAAGGAATTAATCATTCTGCACGATCAATCCGATATATATTTTTATTGTTTCACTATATACAACCGCGAACTGAAGAATTGGGGACTGAAGAGAGACAGAGAGACAGAATAAATATACAGGAAAACGCCAAGTAAAAAATAATAATATTATGGTTCTAAGGAAAAAATGCTAAAATATAAAACTGCAACAGTAAATTATGACCAATCACAAACCAGTAATCAGTTCGCCCAGGGTTTACATCGGAAGTCGAAAACGAATACTTCTTTTTCCGGGTATATAATGATATTTTACGTTTATAGCACCGTGTTTGTGTGTGTGTTCATTTCGGCAAACGAAAACAGTTGTTATTAAAAGTGAGTAATAAATGAATTCAAATGTGAATCGAAATATCAAGTAAAATAAAAAGGGAGATATTACATTATTCGTGCATCGTTTGACAGAATACAGAGTTTCTGAGATTTAGAGTTTTAAAGATAGAATATAATTGTTTATCTACCTATCTGTCTATCTCTACATATATATATATATATATGTGTGTGTGTGTGTGTGTGTGTATGTGTGTGTGTGTGTGCAGTAGGGGAACAAATATTCGTACACATACAAATTTTTAATTTATTATATTTACAACTAATGAATAAACATACTTTTAATATAATTAACTATACGCAGATGCATAATAACTAAATATGCATGGAAAACAAAACAAAATTGATTTAATAAAAATAATTCCTATTTACCCATTTTAATGGCTGAAAAATTATTCGTACAATACCAAAAAAATACTTAATCTTCACTTAATACTTTGTAGAATAGCCATTATTCACTAATACAGCAACCAACCTCTTCTTGTATCTCTCAATTAATGATTGGCAAATTTTAGTTGGTATATTTTTCCATTCTTCTTTGCATATGGTCTTCAGATCCGGGATGTTTGTTAGAGTTCTCGATTGGATTTGAATTTTCAAATAACCCCACAGATTTTCGATTGCGTTTAAATCTAGGGACTGACTTGGCCATTTCAGGATATTACATTATTTCTTCCTAAATTTTAGAGTGTGCTTAGGATAATTATCTTGTTGGAAGATCCAGTCAGGAGGAAGTTCAAGATTTTCAACCTATATCATTACATTTACTTCCGAAATATTTTGATATGTTGTGGAATTCATTCTACCAACTATTACTGATATGTTGCCAATATCTTTTGTAGAAAACTTACTCAAACCATGATGCCGCCACCAACAAATTTCACTGTTGGAATTGTATTCTTTTGTTTGAAGGCATTGCCTTTTTTCCTTCATACATGATTTCTAGAATCACATCCAAACAACTCACTTTTGGTTTCATCTCTCCATAATACTCTTTCCCAATTCGATTTTTCTTTATCCTTATGTTCACGAACGGATTTCAACCTGGCATATCTGTGTGTTTTCAGTAGCAGTAGTGTTTTGCGAGGGAGAGTGACTTAAGGTTGTTCCTATGAATTTCATTGCTTATTGCCCGTTTAGTGACACAAATTCCCGATGAAAGCAAATCATCCTGAAACTCTTGACGCATTGGATTTTGTTTAATTGGACGCATTAATTTCCGCTAAAGTCTTTCAGAAATCTTCCATGGAGCACCTATACTTCTTTGGTTTTCAGCAGTTTTGAGTTTTTTATACATCGCAATGAATGAACTAATAGAATATTCGGGTGGTCTGAGATTTTTCTGTAACTTTTTTCCTTCTTTCCAGAGCATAACAGTCAGTCCTTTTTTTGCGAATTTGTTAATTCTTTAACTCTTGCCATGATGAAAAACGTCTTGCACTATCAATTACAAAATGTTCTGTTTGTATTTGTAAGCAGAAAATATCTACTGATAACATTATTGGAACATTCTAGAATATTTCACTTGAATAATATAGAATAATAAAGTAATTTAACAGTTTTAAAATCTGAAATTTATATTGTAAGAATAATTTTTCACCCAATAAAATGGATAAATGGGATTTATTTCTATTAAATCCATTTTTCCTGTTTTCTAGGCATATTTAGTTATTATGCATCTGTGTACAATTAATTGTATAAAATGTACATGTATTCATTAGTTGGAAATACAATAAATTAAAACTTTGTATGTGTACGAATATTTGTTTGCCTCCATGGGTGTGTGTGTGTGTTTATGTGTGTACTAACAAATCCTTTGAAAATGGCTAAAGAAGTAGCCGAAAGCCCTTGGGACAATGGACACTACGGACAATTTATACATTCCCTTACACCCCACCAAGAAATTAAGAATATCAGAAATATTGAATAAAATAATTAGTCAAATCTTTCCTCTTCTGCCATATTCAATGAAACATGTTTTAAAGAAAAGTTGCTCCATATAATATACATATATATATATATATATATATATATATATATATATATATATATATATATATATATATATATGGTGAAATAGCTCAGAACCCTGTTAAAGGGGTTATGGTGAAATAGCTTATTACATGGAATCTTAACGTGGTCTGTTTTTTATTCAAACATATCTGCTCTGAATTTTACATTGAGCTCTCTGTATATAATCCTCCTCCGTTCTACCCATACGGATTACCTAAGTTTGCTTAAACTAAATATTAGCTCCTTATAAAATTCGAGAACCCTGTTAAAGGGGTTATAGTGAAATAGCTTATTACATGGAATCTTAACGTGGTCTGTTTTTTATTCAAAATAAATAAATAAATATATATATATGTGTGTGTGTGTGTGTGTGTGTGTGTATAAATGTGGACATTGACGTCAACACTAAGAGACGACAGGTTGGTTCATGTGATAGATAATATTGTTCTGGCTCTACGTTCAGTGTGGATCGAACGCACGCCAGGAACTGTTGGATTTTCAAGTGGAGCATCAGTCGACATTATCGATATAAATTAATTTTAGTTTTATTTTATCCAATCAGAATCTATAGTCTTCAAAGAGATTGACGAATGAAGGTGCGTTTATAATTGAAGGCGCATTGGAATAGCAAAAGATTACCTTCCAAAAGCAAAGAAGGTATTACGCAACAGGGAACTTTCTTTAGAAATAAAGAAAAGAGTGCCGTACGGTTACGTAATATCACTCCACCTCAACGGCAGTGAATGCTGAACAGATGAAGAAGAAAACAGAAATGTGGTTCTACAGAAGGCTACTGAGAATATCATGAACTGAAAATGTAAGTAATGACGAAGGCGAGGGCTCCACAGTAAAACCACCCCGATGTGACGTAGGTTGACCAAAAAGAGAACATCATTACTAGCCCCGTTCAAACGAACCAAGCTCGCTTCAGTCACCCACCATTCGCTGACGACTGTCAAATACAAGCGTTTTCTATCAGTTCTATTCATCTTGAGCTGATGCTCAAAGAATCGGATCAGATCCTGATGAGAAAGACGGTTGCCTTGCAAGACTTCCTCCTGTCGCGTCGTCCAAATCAGCATTCGGGCCGTGGCCAGCAGCGTCAGAAACACCATTCAGTGTTTCTGATGGCGACAATTTACGCATCGCACCCTTTATATCTAGTGATGGATCAATAAGTTTGCAATCTAACACAGAATTATATTTATCTGAAACATTCTATATAATATTCGTTATCTTCTTCCTTATGAACAATTGAATTTTTTATGTTACATTAGGAGGAAAGAAGGCTAAGAGAATTCAACACGTCATATTGAAGATAAGAGGGGCAAAGAAGCGCATCGTGTAACGCACTTGAGAATCTTGTGTACGTAGATAGCAGAATAGGGTTGGTGAAAAGACAAAACTTAATATGAGCTACAAAGGATGGGGAGTTAGGGAGAACCATGATCACCCATTTCCTAAAGTTACACGGCTCGTAGACGAAGAAGTAGAAGAAGAAAAATAAGAATTGTCTATGGTAATCGGTAAACTGTCGCATGTACACGTATTCCTGAGCTTGTATGCGAAACGGCTTGAATTCTTCTATTTTATTTATTTTTTATTTTATTTATTCATTTATTTTTATTAGGTTATTTTTTTAATCTGTTTACTTTTGTGTCGATACGTTCAATTTCATTTTCACTGGTTCTCAGTCCCGGATTCTTTCCCTTGACCGGTTCTTCGGATTTCAATATCCTTTTTTAGGAAGTTGCATCGTAGCTGGAGGCTATGTGACAGCTTAACAGGTTATCAGTCAGAGTAACTCTTGAATGATGTTAAATGAAGGGAGAACAAACAGATGGACAACTGAAAGGCGATGCCAAAGAGTAATAAAAGGAGAAAATCATAAGTAAACGGACGAAGAAAGAAAAGAATGAGGAGGAAAGAAAGAAAAATAAAGAAAAGAAAAGTGTGAATTGAACTGAGTAAAAAAATGAAGAGAAAAAAGACAGGAATACCTGGAAAAAAGATTAGCATAAGGAAAGAGAAATCAAAGGAAAAGAACGAAACAAAAGTATGAAACACTGAAAAAAGAAAGAAAGAAAGAAAGAAAGAAAGAAAGAAGGAAAGAAAGAAAGAAAGAGGCAATCCAAAGTTTCAAAAGAATGAACGAAAGATAAAATATGCAAGAAGCATGGTAGCAATTGAAACAGTAAGAAAGAAAGAAAGAAAGAAAGAAAGAATAATGAAGAGTGATATAGAATGAATTAAAAAAAGAAAGAAAATATAAAAGGAACGCTAAAGATTGAAATATGTATGGAAGAAAGAAAGAAGCAATCTAAAGATTGAAACATAATAAAGAAAGAGATAATGAAAGAAAGAATAAGCAAGAATCTTGCTAGAGATTGAAACAATACAAAAGAAAGAAAAAACAATATATAAACTGAAACGAAAGAAAGAAACGTGAAAGAAAAAGCACGCTAAAGATTCAAACAGTATGTAAAAGAAAGAAAGAAAGAAAGAAAGAAAGAAAGAAAGAAAGAAAGAAAGAAGAAAGAATAATGAAGAATGCTACAGAATGAATCGAAAGAAAGAAAATTATAAGGAAAAATCATGCTAAAGATTGAAACAATACGGTAGAAAGAAAGAAAGAAAGAAAGAAAGAAAGAAAGAAAGAAAGAAAGGAAGGAAGAAAGAAAGAAAGAAAGGAAGGAAGAAAGAAAGAAAGAAAGAAAGAAAGAAAGAAAGAAAGAAAGAAAGAAAGAAAGAAAGAAAGAAAGAAAGAAAGAAAGAAAGAAAGAAAGAAAGAAAGGAAGAAAGAAAGAAAGAATAATGAAGAATGATATAGACTGGCACGAAAGAAAGAAAAGAGAAAGAAAAAGCACGCTAAAGATTGAAACAGAATGTAAGAAAAAAAAGAAAGAAAGGAAGGAAGAAAGAAAGAAAGAAAGAAAGAAAGAAAGGGGGATAGAATAATGAAGAATGCTACAGAATCAATCGGAAGAAAGAAAATATAAGGAAAAAACACGTTAAAGATTGAAAAAAGTATATAAGAAAGATGAAATGCAACCGAAGTATTTAGTAATAGTTAAAATTCAGTCGTGATTTTGTTTGCGTCTTCCCAAAATCAGAATGCTAACTGTAACGTCGGAGGATAATGGGACGATATCAAAATAGATTCAATTAACTCAAGAGACAGGAAATAATGATATTTTTCCATTTCTTTCTTTGATAAAAATCAAGGAATCAGCCTACATTCAATTCTAAATCGCCACTTTGACCTCTGGCATAGCCGAGAACGAAATACTGCCAAAGTTCATCTGGAATATCGATGGATAGTCCTACAATAGCTGCAAGGCACTTTTCCCCAAAGCAATGACATGAATGCGAACTTTTAAACTATTAACACGGGCACTCCACCACCAATATCAGAAAACTACGGAGTGCGATGGATAAATTGTCGTCTACATTACGCTGAAATGAAAATAACACTTACATCACATTTTAACAGATATATTTACCAAAATAACATGAAAATATCTTGAAATACTGAAGAGCAAATTTAATCAATAAAATTGCCATTGACTTCAACGGAATCTCCTGCATCTCTCCTTGTTTAAGTTGGTGAATGCAGTCACAATCCTTGCCTTCAGTTCATCTTTGGTGTTACAAGCAGTTTTGTTGGCCTCTTGCCCAACTGCGCCCCACATGTAATAATCAAAGGGTTGCAGTCTGAGGAGTTAGGTGGCCAGATGTAAGGGGTGACATGGTCGCAGAAATTGTATGACAGCCATGACTGGTTTTTCTTGCTTGTGTGGCATGGTGCAGAGTTTTGTTGTCAGACATATTTTCTTCCAGCAGCCACACTGTTAACCCAGAACAGCACTACCTCCTCAAGGCAATTGATGAAGGCCTCCGTGTTGAGTCTGATGCCCTTTGGAAAGATAAATAGAGGCATAATGTTGCCATCACTAGTGATCACTTCAAAATATTTCGTAATCACCATTAGACTCATCCAACTCTTTTCCTCTGCACTATCATTGATTGGCATCCACACATTCTGAAATGTTTTTATTGTAGTTCCGAGCGCGAATGCCAAGCAGTACCTCATGCCGATTCCAAATTTCTGGAGGACTGAGTTGCGTCATGGTGATCTTTTTTCTCACAAATGGTCCCAACTCACTCTACTATAATGTGCAGTCGACGAAATCAAAAACAAGCAATGCGCATGCAGGAATTTAAAATATAAAATGGCTACAATTTACTCATTGTACCCTGTATATATAGACATTGATCAATAAGTTTGCAACCTAATACAATTATATTTATTTGAAACATTCTATATAATATTCGATATCTGCTACCTATGAACAAATATTGGGTTAAGAGCATTAACAAGAAAAGAGATTGTTTCAAAACATAAGATTTAGTTGCGTAAAATAAATGCTTGCATAGCACCACTAAACTACTGACTTACCACTTACCTCTATGTCAGTATGTATATGTGTGTGTGTACCTCTATGTCAGTATGTATATGTGTGTGTGCTTGTGTGTACCTCTATGTCAGTATGTATATGTGTGTGTACATCTATGTCAGTATGTATATGTGTGTATGTACCTCTATGTCAGTATGTATGTGTGTGTGTGTGTGTGTGTCTATGTGTACCTCTATGTCAGTATGTATATGTGTTTGTGTGTAACTCTATGTCAATACATATATGTGCGTGTACCTCTATGTCAGTATGTATATGTGTGTGTACCTCTATGTCAGTATGTTTATGTGTGTGTGCCTCTATGTCAGTATGTATATGTGTGTGTACCTCTATGTCAGTATGTATATGTGTGTGTATATCTCTATGTCAGTATGTTTATGTGTATGTGTGTGTACCTCTATGTCAGTATGTATATGTGTATGTGTACCTCTGTGACAGTATGTATATGTGTATGTGTGTGTACCTCTATGTCAGTATGTATATGTGTGTGTACCTCTATGTCAGTATGTTTATGTGTATGTGTGTGCACCTCTATGTCAGTATGTATATTTGTTTGAGTGTACCACTATGTCAGTATGTATATGTGTATGTGTACCTCTGTGTCAGTATGTATATGTGTATTTGTGTGTATGTATATGTGTATTTGTGTGTACCTCTATGTCAGTATGTATATGCGTGTGTATATCTCTATGTCAGTATGTATATGTATGTGTACCTATATGCCAGTATGTATATGTGTGTGTATATCTCTATGTCAGTATGTTTATGTGTATGTGTGTGTACCTCTATGTCAGTATGTATATGTGTTTGCGTGTACCTCTATGTCAGTATGTATATGTGTGTGTACCTCTATGTCAGTATGTATATGTGTGTGTATATATCTATGTCAGTATGTTTATGTGTATGTGTGTGTACCTCTATGTCAGTATGTATATGTGTTTGTGTGTACCTCTATGTCAGTATGTATATGTGTATGTGTACCTCTGTGTCAGTGTGTTTACCTCTATGTCAGTATGTATATGTGTGTGTACCTCTATGTCAGTATATATATGTGTGTGTTCCTCTATGTCAGTATGTTTATGTGTATGTGTGTGTGTACCTCTATGCCAGTATGTATATGGTATGTGTGTACCTCTATGTCAGTATGTATATGTGTGTGTACCTCTATGTCAGTATATATATGTGTGTGTACCTCTATGTCAGTATGTTTATGTGTATGTGTGTGTGTGTTCCTCTATGTCAATATGTTTATGTGTATGTGTGTGTGTGTACCTCTATGTCAGTATGTATATGTGTGTGTGTGTTTGCGTGCATATGCGTGTGTTGAGGGAAGTAGTTTTGAACAAAGGGGTCTCTGGTCTGTAGATATGAACTGAAAGATGTAGATAGATGTCAACTCACAAATCATGCTCATCAACTCACATCCCACACTCCCCGTCTCTTCGTCTCTTTTCCTTTTCTTTCCACTATTCTCCTTCTTCTTCTTCTTCTTCTTCTTCTTCTTCTTCTTCTTCTTCTTCTTCTTCTTTGCTGTGTAATAATAACCTTACTGGTCATCCGGGTTTATTTTCCCGCCTTGATTGAGACCGTTGTGTTGTCTCGATAGTGTTGGTTCGAGTTTCTCAAAATCTTACTCTACCGAGGATTAACGGAGAAATCTAGTCTGGACCCTTCTGTATACGTTGTGTACCTCAGACAAAATTGCGTAATTACCGTCTGTGACCGTGGTAAGATTGCTTACGAAGGAAACTTTTAAATCAAGCTGGAAAAGAACTCCTTTGATAAAATGCACTATACTTGATAACTCTAACAACAGGTTTATAGAACATAAAGAAAAAACTGGTTGAATAATATGTCTCTATTAGCTAATGTAAAATCAAGTTCTCTAGTGCAGAATGGTCTTTTAGAAAATCTAGTCACAAACGCTAAAATAATAAACAGCCGGTCGATTCTCAATCCTGTCATGCGTGTGTCGATGTTTTCGCTCCGGTCACAGGAATTGTGGCTGTGCTCTTTACCGACGACTTCTGGACCGCTCTGAACCAACATCTCTTGGGCCCGCCTCCGTCTGTGTGTGTGTTTGTTTTCGGTCCGACCACAGGAAATTCGGCTTTTATTGTTGGGCCTGATTCTTCGACTGTCTCTGCGTCTGAGGAAGTCTTCTTTATATAGACGACTCTCCCCTCTCCAATTTAACATTGATATATCTAATTTCACCATCCAAACTTTCTTAATCTTAGGATATCATGCTAATTAACTGTATGGTACATTATTTGTCTAGAACCTCCTTGTCTTTAATAATAATTCTATTCTTAGTCGATCAACATAACCAGATGCTGTGTTTGAGAATTAACACAATTCAAAATTCTTCTTTGTCTAGAATAATTTGCAAGAACACACACGTTTTGGACAGATAGTATAATGTAAATAAACCCAATGCCTGGGATTTATACAAAACAGGCGCCTCTATTTTTTTTAAGCATTTGATCATTATTTCTATAAGACCACAAACTTGTCTATATCTCTGAGATGAGGTATTATGATTATTTACATTATTTACATTATTCACACTATTATCTATTCATTGCGTTTCACAACGTTTCGGCCGGGGTAGATTGTCCATGTGCCATGCCACTTACGATGTCTCGGTTATTTCCCTTTAACTCAACCGACCAAGTTTTGATTCACCATTGCTGTAGCCTAGTATTGAACTCACAACTCTTTGGGTCTTGTCACTGGATCTAGCCAACACCTTTATCCATTAAAGACACATGGCCCAGTGTTCAAAAATTATGTTTTATTAGTTTAAAACAATTTTTACTTCGCTTATTTTGTCATTTCCTTTTTAATCATTCAACCTACACTTCTGGGAATTTTAATTATTATTATCACATTAGTAGTCCCTCCAAATGACCATCCTGTAAATTCATGCAGTTGAACGTTTAAAGAGTGCCAGTACCCTGTTACATAGATAGATAGATAGATAGATAGATAGATAGATAGATGTGAAAAGACAATGGTATGAACAGATTGATATGAGCAGCCTAAGATGGATAGATAGATAGATAGATATAAACACATTACGCACACACACATACACACACAAACACACATGCACACACACAAATATATTAAATTAGCCAATGGATTTTCGAGTAATGGATAGCGGCTCGGATTCACTCGAATCCATTACATTCTCTTACGTTTTGATAACCTTGAGAAAGGTATGAATCTTCTTCTCCTTCAAACTATGGGTAAATAACAGGACAGTCCGGGCTCTGTAGCCTTGGATGGCAACTGGTCTACCACAGAAAGAAACGGCAACCTACTGCGGGAAAAAATCTGCCTCGTCAGTCATGTATCGAAAGATGCATGATCGCCTAAGCGTGTATCAAGCATGGCACACAACAGACTGACTGAATAAGAAATCGTCAGGTCAGGATATATTTTGATTTTAAGATAGAAATTTACAATGAAATTATATCTTGGCCTGATGAGGGAGTTGCTAAGCTAATATTTTAAATTATGCACTGATTTATAATGTCGGGTAATTTTACTGCATATTTTCAAAAGAAATTACAATTAGCTAAGTGTATATTTAAATTAACGTGTGCGTGTGTGCGCGCGTGTGTACACGTCTGTGTATTCTGTGTGTGTGTGTTTGTGTATGTGTGCACTTAGCATAAGTCGTATATTTTACAGGTGTTTCAGACTATCGCTCAGAGTAGGATATTTTTTCTGTCATCAACGGTTAGCCTTCTATCTATAATACCATCAAATTACACGTGGTCGAAATGTTTTTTTATTCCTTATAATCAGACTCAACTGATATGTATATAGGTACGTATCACATTAAAAGGTGTCAGTGCCGCATTCAGCAACCCACTTCCGTGAATTGTGAGATGTTTTTCCAGCGCCACCTTCCTGTCGCTTTATCTAACGGCAATATATAATTGTAGAGCAGAGCCTTTAACACAGAGCAGGAAATGCCGTTTGAGTTTGCCATATTTTCACTACTTTAGGCTATACCCGAAGGCTTTAATTCGAAGGGCTTCAGAGACGCTTGGGGAAACGAAGCATCTTGTCGTTGGAAGACAGCAGAAACTGACTGGTAAACTGAAAAGGACAACTAGTCAAAGTGTATATATGATTATCACCTTCAGGTAACTACCTACGCCTTTTAAACGAAAATCCTTTAGGTGGTTCACACTTTACAAAGAGAAACTCCGGCGTTCTCTACTTTTTTCTTTCTTCTATCTTTTCGTGTCTATTCATTCTCTTTCCTTTTTTTCTTGCCTTAAAATCCAACATTTTGTTGCTTTCATTAATCACACTTTCGCTCCAGTCTTTATTATACTTTCTCTTTCAGTATATTCGATATTTTAACTTATGGTGATGCATCACTAAGTGCGTAGCCGAGTGACAAAAAAGCATGTATTTTACACAATAAATATTTATGTGTCTTCGTCTTTATCCATGCACTTAATTTAACGATGGTTTATTAATCGTACAAATAAAACATGAAACATCGAAAATATATTAAAATCAATCCCGAACTACTTTTCAAACTACGGAATTATTCAACCATCTCTCTCTCTCTCTCTCTCTCTCTCTCTCTCTCTCTCTCTCTCTCTCTCTCTCAACACCGAAAGGAATTGAGATAAAGACATTGGTTAGATCCAGTGATTAAACCCAAAGAGTTGTGAGTTCAATACCAGACCCAAGCAGAGGTGAATCAAAAGGGGAAACAATCTGAGTCATCCGGAATAGGCATGGAACGTGGAACTAGAACAATCTACTCCGGTGAACGAAATAAAGGGTTCGATTCGAAATTCCAATCACCTGAAGAAGGCCGGAACTTACAACGGCCGAAACGTTGTGATTATGACAATGAAGATGAGGATACCAGCTTAAGAAAGTAATCAAACCACGATTTATCATGACGATATCCCATGGCAAAATTGCTAATAACACTCTTCGGCATTTTTTTCTTTTTATGCGCCATGTCCTTTCAGGATGTAGGCGATAATGGCTCTGTACCTCCCTCTATCCCTCTAAACAGACCACTCCTCCAGACAACGTTCTGTCATGCACTTGCTTAAGTCCGGTAGGTATTCCATGCGTTGTTTTCCCTTGTCTATTTTTCCCTCTATTCGACCTTTGTGTATCAGATTCTCCAGGCCCTCCTTCCTCATCATGTGTCCCAGAAACTTCATCTGCCTCTTCCTGATGTTAAGTATAAGCCTCCTCCTTGTTTGCATGCTCTCTAAGACTTCATCATTGCTCACACGCTCGATCCATGATATCCTTCTGTAGAACCACATCTCCGTCGCCTCGTGTCTCTTTATCTTTAAGAAAATCGGCCAACATTCGCTGCCGTAAAGAATGATAGATGTCATGTAACAGCTCAGTATTCTTTTCTTTGTTACCAAAGAAATCTTCCTGTCTTCCCAGCTTTTGGAATGTGTCCTTGGCCATCGGGTATAGGTGTGTTTTCCCTGATGGTAAAAAGGGATATGTGTTCGATTCCTTTCGGGACGCAATTTTTTTTTTATTTGGTAGGACTTTTAACTAGGCCGGTTGACATTAATTTCACTGCTTAAGAAATTAAAAAACAGAGATGTCAACTCCAACACGCGTACTGACTTCAAATAACATTTATAGCAATAGCAAATTTCAAATTTAAGAAACGCATTTAACAATTACTGTGTTTGAAATATAAATTCGTAAATACTGTATATACTCGTGTATTAGCCGACTTCATGTAAGATGTGCGACACCTGAATTTTTAACACCTCCAGAAAACGTTTACTTATGTATAGTGCAACCAATCACTGAAAACGCACGATTTTAGCCTCTTCAAAAAAAAATTACATGTGTATAATGATAAAGCTATTTTTGTGCGTAAAAAAATTATCATAAAACCCACATTATATTCGTGTAGATACGGTAAATTATGGCAGAATTTGTGCATTTTGACAGGAATATTGATTATGAAACGGTAGAATCGATCAAATAAGTTTTTAGATTAACACATCTTCTGAAAGAGGATCAGAAGAGAGAGAATGTATTTTATACTAAAAAAAAATGTGGATGCCATTTGGTTGTTATTATCATAAGAACAATTCTCCGTTTAATATCGGACCAAGATACCATCTGTGATTTCCCTCCTATAACAGATTTGCCATCAAAAGAAACCTTGTTATACTGTTGTGGTTAATGACCTAGTTACTTAAATCATTCACTGTAAACTTTATCTCCGATCTGTATAGCCGCAATATGGTTTTATGCCCAGTTTGTCTTTATGAAACAAATAATAAATAACGTAGCTCAATGGTAATAGTGTTGCTCTCTTAATTTACCGATATTGTGAGTGACATCATAAGAATCTTGGGCCTGATCCTCGCTGATCAATAAATACAGACTGAAATCTAAGGTGGCGTAAGTATTAATGATAAGTTGTATGACCGAAAATATACTGATTTTTCTCTAAATATTTTTGTATTTTAATTTCCCTCCGTGAAAAAAATATCTCTTTCGTAGTTCATTTTTCTTTTCCTATTATTTATATATATATATTCATCTTCATCTTTAAATATTTCTCTCCACACACACACACACACACACACACACACACACATATATATATATATATATATATATATATATAGGGCAGTTGTCTGTATGTGTGTGTGTGTGTGTGTGTGTGTGTGTGTGTGTCTGGCGAAAACCAAAAAACTACAATAATTACGACAAAGTAAATGTATACACAGACTTATTATCACCCAAGCCAGCTTTTTGTAAAAAAAAATTCCATTGTATGATTTACATTTACGAAGATATTTTAAAATTAAAATGCATTAGAATCCGTTCGAAATTCTCAGCATTAAAAAGTAAAAACGAACTGTAATAATTCTTGTTCTCGATTATTATTACCGTTCGTTTTCAAATTTTTAATTCTGCTGATACTTTCGAGACGCTATACATGTATGTCCTGTTAAAATTTCTATTCTCTTGAATTTATTTTTACATCTGTAGTAAATAAAAGTGTAACAAAAACAAATATTAAAACAATAAAGTAAATTTAAGTAAGAATATTAAATACAATTATTTGACAAAAAATTTAATATTTATTTATTCAAATATTCATGTGTGTGTGTCCGTCTAAAACTAAAAAAATTACAATAATTACGACAAAATAAATATATATACAGACTAAAGGGTAGTATTCTGTGTTTATGTGTGTATTATTGACTTATTAATATTTTTCGGCCATCTTATGGAAAATAATTTTTTAGTCAATCTAAAAAATAAACTTCATATTTTTCTTTGGTGGGGTTGGTGTAACTAACATAAAAAAGTAAATAATTTTAAATTAAGTTTGATTGAAGCAAAAACTATAGCGAGCCTTATTTTTTCGAAAATTAATTTAAATGAAATATAGTTAAATTAGTAAAACAAAGATTCAACAGGACTAATTTTGACCGTAACTCATGTCTGTCTCTCCTAATTTTTTATTTAACCGGGTATAAGTATAAGGTGTGCTATGGAATGTAAAGATATATTGTGTTTATGCTTGGGTTTCATTCCTAAGCTGTTCCATTCTATCGATTCTATATAGAAATTAAATAGCTTGTTTTGCAAAAGAATTTCGGATAAAGGATTATCAACCTGTATTATCAAATGGTATATCTGCAAATTACAGCAGGTGTATTTTTCTGATGATTCTCTGAACTTGGATTCGATATTTTACCAGGTTTCCATCTCTTATACTTTTTTTTTATTGTACTAAATTAGTTTTGTTTCAATTCATCCCACATTCCCGCTACCTCACTCTTCTTTCTCCATCTCCCGCTTTCGCTCTCTCTCTCTCTCTCTCTCGCGTTTTCTTTTCCTTTTTTCTTTCATTCTTTCTTTCTTTCTTCTCTCTCTCTTTCTCTCTCTCTAACTTTCCTTATTTCTTCCTCTTTCTCTCTGTCTTTCTGTCTCTCTTTCTATTTTTCTCTCTCTGTTACTCTTCAATAATACTTTCCTTTTTTTTGAACGTCTCTCTCAATTTCTATTTTCATTTCTCCCTTTTT